TAAAATACAAACACCCCCACGCTTAGCCTTCAAAACATTACTAAATAACAACCTCTGCATCCCACAGTCCTTCCCGCTGTTTATCAGCAGCAGTCTGTTCTGTCTAACCTTGCATTTGTAAAATCTTCAGTATACAACTGCGAAGATAAAGTCTGTACAATACTTGGCATGCTCTGGGTGTTATGTAAAAATAAGAAATATAAAATACAAACACCCCCACGCTTAGCCTTCAAAACATTACTAAATAACAACCTCTGCATCCCACAGTCCTTCCCGCTGTTTATCAGCAGCAGTCTGTTCTGTCTAACCTTGCATTTGTAAAATCTTCAGTATACAACTGCGAAGATAAAGTCTGTACAATACTTGGCATGCTCTGGGTGTTATGTAAAAATAAGAAATATGTAGGCTACCTCTTACATAACATTTTACATCAGTGCTTTACAAAGCAGGTCGGAATCACATCCCTGTTTTATAGATGGGAAAACTGAGAAACTGAAAGGTGAATTGACATGGCCAACCTGGGACTAGAACTCAGGCCTCCTGAGGGCTAGTCTAGTGTTCTCTCCACTAGACAATACTCTCTCATATAAATAAGTCTCCTAGTAAGTTGGCAGGTTCATATCTACCTTTGCTAAGGTACCAGCATCAAGATTTCATTTTCTAATTTATGGTGCTACAATCTTCCCTCTATAACAATGGCGCTCTGATTTCTGGAGTCATCCAGAAGCGTGTGTGGGGAAAATGAGGAAGCTTTATGAGAGCACTACATCAATACCAGACCTTCTCTCTGAGGATCAGGAGTTACATTTAAATGTAAAGTCCCAAGCTGTGTGACTAGATGGAACAGAGGATTATGAGTAGGATAAAGAGTTATTCACTTTCAGGTTACCAGCTCCAGACAAGCTGAGGCCACTGGAAGTGAACAGGAAGACTTGTTTCCTAGCAGGCAAGTCTCTGCATTATAGATAAAACTATTCAAGCCCTCACCTCAATTACAGCAGAAAGTCCAAGAACTTCAAGGAGTCAAGGAGACTAAAATCCCTGTGCTCTTGCTTAGGAAGGGCTCTTATCAGAGGTCCAAGGCACATACCCAGGGAGCAACTTGTATGCTACTGTGTCTCTCCTGTTCTGAAGGTTTTAGTCTCTAGAGTTATCACACCAACACCTTCCTTTCGCCAGCACTAAAATGTACTCTAAAGAAAATACAGCAATCCACGCAGGTGACAGTAGCTATAAGTTATTTATTCTGCAAAACAGAGGTATAGTCTATGGAGTTAAACATTGGTATCACAGCGTAGTATTTCTGCATTTCAATATATAAATGACTGCATATATATACACATCATGTACAGCCGCTCTTCAGACATCTGCTCTTGCCTTCACCATAAGAGCCCTCACTATTGTCTTTGCCCATAATACTGGTCGTGAGGGATAAATTTGTCCCCACTCCCATATTCATGGAGTTTCCAGAGATGTAGGTGCAAAGCAAAGGTGACACAGGTTGTTGGGACAGCTGCACCAGCACCCAATCCCAGTGTTCATAGGTTACACCTCATGACTGAACACGGTCACTATCTGGAGTCATTTCAATCTCACCTCAGTCTTCATTGCTCCTCAGGGCAAGCTCCTGGGTGCTAGCAAGGCACTCTCTTCTTTTTATATCAGGACACTGTCATTAATCCCTGCTCACCATGGTCCATGTTCCAAAGCCGGTAGAACTCTGCAAAGTCCACATAGGGCTCAACACGTCCATCCTCATCTGGCTGGAGCGAGTGGGAGGGACGGGAGCGGAAGAGGCCTCCATCTGAACTCGAGCTGCTGCTCTGGGTATGGGTGTTGGTGGACTGGAGAGTCATTGTTGGGCTCTGACTGCAGAAAAGGACAGGGAGAGAACACAGACACGTTCACTTTAATCAGTCTATGCCTGTGCATATCAAATACCAATGCCACTTAACCAGATCAAATCATCCCTCCCTGCGGCCAGACACACGTAGCTGTGGTCCTTCATGCCTCCAGGGACATTATGGAGACGTTCAGATCCACTCTGATATTCACAGGTGATAAAAGAGCTGCCTCATCTTGACAGGCCTGATGCACAGGGCATCTGAGGGTGTGGAGGACAGCGTAAGAGAAAACTGGAGATGGGGGAAGGGGAATCAGACTTTCCTCCTGCTACCCATATTTTAGCCCCTACAGCAGAGTCTGGCAGCAAAAAATGCTTTTCACCATGGATGTGGCAGCTCCACTGTTCCCAGAACAACTGGAAAGTGGGAACCAAAAACTACTGGCACAGCAGAAGGTGTACACCCCTCTCTGTAGCAAAAGTGGTGCTGAAATCAAATCCACCCATGATCCTGCAAAGTGGAGACACACCCCTCCTAAAAATATGATGTACATTCAACCCTTACTTTCTTTTCTCCTGTGTGCATTCCAATATTCCCTCTAATATTTTCCAACTATGCCCAGAATACATTTTTATGTGCACAGAAGCATATGTGAATGTGCACCACCAGTAGAAACAAAAACCCAGCTGTGGACTTTCTGTTAGTCATCTTGGTAACATCTGAATCTCTCGAGTGGTCACACAAGTGCCTGCTTACAGGGGACACTGGTGCAATCCAGTGACCAGCCAGACGAACTGTACTGCTCCAGCCTCTTCTCCACCTGCCAGTCAGGTAACCTGCACAGCCTCAGCAACTAGGCTAGCTGGTCAGTCAACTAGATCAGTCCTCCACTGGCTAGCTGGTCAGTCAACTAGATCAGTGGTGCTCAACCTTTTTTAATTTGCAACCCCCAGGGAAAATTTTGGTCGAGGGGGAAGAAAAAAAAAGCCACTGGGAACGTTTTGTTACGGACCCTTTAATTTAAAGCGCCAGTCTACTCCCCTCACCCCTGTCGGGTTGTGCATCGCTGAACTAGCTGACTCTCACAACAGAGACCTGCTGTGGGACTGGGATCTGGTGGATTTCTCTGCCATAACAGCAGGAACAGGTAAAATGCACTTTGTTGCAGGTGGAATTAGGTGGGCAAAAAGCCATACTCTGGTAATTTGCAGGAAAGCACTAAATCTCCCATCAGTTTGACAAACAGAATTTCACCAATGAAAAGCATGTTTTTTTTCTTTTAAATATATGTTTAAATACTTACATTTAAGAGCAAGAGAGAGAGAAGATCTGCTGTCTATTATAATAACAATAAAAGTATTTTTAGGTGGTTTAACCAAAATGTATTTAATATTTTAGTAGTAAATATTGTAGACTCATAGAACTGGAAGGGACCTAAAGAGTCCAAACCCATGCCCTCACAGCAGGACTGAGCACATTAGATCATCCCTGATAGAGGTCTATCCAACGTGCTCTTAAATATCTCCAGTGATGGAGATTCCACAACCTCCCTAGGCAATTTATTCCAGTGTTTAACCACCATGACAGTTAGGAAGTTTTTCCTAATGTTCAACCTAAACCACCCGTGCTGCAGTTTAAGCCCATTGCTTCTTGTCCTATCATCAGAGGCCAAGGAGAACAATTTTTCTCCCTCCTCTTTGTAACACCCTTTTAGATATTTGAAAACAGCTATCATGTCCCATCCCAGTCTTCTCTTTTCTAAACAAGCCCAATTCTTTCAGACTTCCCTCACAGGTCGTGCTTTCTAGACCTTTAATCATTTTTGTTATTCTTCTTTGGACCTTCTCCAATTTCTCCACATCTTTCTTGAAATTTGATGCCCAGAACTAGACACTATACTCCAACTGATGCCTAATCAGCACAGTGTAGAGCAGAAGAATGACTGCTTGTGTCTTGTTCACAACATTCCTGTTAATGCATCCCTGGATCTTTTTTTTTTTTTTTTTTTTTTTAACTCATATTTAGCTTGTGATCCATTATAACCCCTAGATCTCTTTCTGCAGTACTCTTCCTAGGCAGCTGCTTCCCATTCTGTATGTGTGAAACTGATTGTTCCTTCCTGAGTGGAGTACTTTGCATTTGTCTTTATTAAACTTCATCCTATTAACCTCAGACCATTTCTCCAGTTTGTCCAGATCATTTTTGAATTATGACCCTATTCTCCAAAGCACTCCAAAGCCCTCCCAGATTGGTATCATCCACAAACTTAATAAGCGTACCTTCTATGCCAATATCTAAATCATTGGTAAAGATATTGAACAGAACCGGTCCCAAAACAGACCCCTGCAGATCTTCACTTGTTATGCCCTTCCATCATGACTGCAAACCATGAATAACTGTCTGGATTACTGTTCTCAGAGAGAAGTTATGAACCTACCTTACAGTAGCCACATCTAGGTTGTATTTCCCTAGTTTATTGATAAGGTCATGCGAGACCATATCAAATGCTTTTCTGAAGTCTAGGTATACCACATCCACCGCTTCTTTCTTAGCCACAAGAAAGCTATCAGATTGGTTTGACATGATTTGTTCTTTACAAATTCATGCTGGCTGTTACCTATCACTTATCTTTCAGGTGTTTGCAGACTAATTCCTTAATTACTTGTTCCATTATCTCCCCAGGCACAGAAGTTAAACTGACTGGTCTGTGGTTTCCTGGGTTGTTCTTATTTCCCTTTTATAGCTGGGCACTATATTTGACATTTTGGACTATCTTCTAACTTCCATGATTTTTCAAAGATGATAGCTAACGGCTCAGATACCTCGAGCATTCTAGGAGTACCTGAGTTAAAAAAAAACAAAACAAAACAAAGCAAAACACACACACACACACCCCAATTATTTTATGGTTTTGTTATGCAGTATGGGGGAATATGTCTCGCCTGTGGGATTTGCAGGATCTAAGGTGCTCATGGGATAAAAATACAGGAAACAATGCAAGAGCAGGTATTGCAGGGATGGATGAGAGTGGGATTAAAAAAATAGTCTCAGGCAGGGCTCTACTGCATTGCCCTTTCTAAGCACAGACTCCCCTAACACTGAGTTAACCAGGATTTTACATCACTATATTAAACACAATATCCCATGATTGGATATTAGGCACAAAAGAATTTTGGAACAAATAAGTTCCAAGGGATAACTGTTACCTGCCTAAGGTGAGTGCAGGAGTCCAGGTCAGACTCCCATGTGATTTCAATCACATTTGCTACATGGGTGGTCCAACCCCTACTCCCAATAGCAAAGCACAAGCATGAAATATGCTGTGTGCTGAAACTGACTCAGTTATTTAGTGTGACTACCTTGCTGGGTCCTGGCATGTGAGATGTTTTGCAACTGACAAACACAAAAAGGTTCCTGGTCTGCTGACCCACCAGTGTGTATGCTTCAGTCTTTACATATGCCTGCCAGTTTCAAGTGTTGCATACAGGTATTAGGAGGTAAATACCAATTGTCAGTAAAGTCAGAAGGCACAGCCAAAATGCAGCTTAACCAAGGAAGGGAAAGCATTAGAACAAATTTAAACTTTTGATTCAGTCCACTGACACTAGAGGTGGATGTAACTGAAGACAAATCAAGGAGGACTCTAGATTGGCTAACAGACTGGGAGTGTACAGGCAGTAGGGTGTACACCATTGGGCACTATGGCTTACACTGCTTTCAGGGGTGCTTGGCTGCATATATCACTACTCAGCATGCACCTCCTGCTGGACTGACAGCCAGTGTTCCCTAAGATTTTCCATCCATGATTACTTTTCATTAATGATTATTTTTTATTGTGAAGATAAATACAGATCAAACTTTTTGTAGTAGTTGACTAGCCATTGTCCAGTCTTCAAATATACTTTTAAATTATACTGAAAACAGTTATTCTGTGTTAAAAGCAATGTTTTATTGGGCAAAGATCTAACCTGATTTTTGCAGCTAGGTTCCAAACCAAATAATTCTTGCATCCAGTAGCATATATGTTGTGCTTCTGCCAAAGGGTTAATAGCAGTAGAAATGATCAGGTTTTATATACAGGCAGTCCCCGGGTTATGGTTTTGTTATGCAGTATGGGGGAATATGTCTCGCCTGTGGGATTTGCAGGATCTAAGGTGCTCATGGGATAAAAATACAGGAAACAATGCAAGAGCAGGTATTGCAGGGATGGATGAGAGTGGGATTAAAAAAATAGTCTCAGGCAGGGCTCTACTGCATTGCCCTTTCTAAGCACAGACTCCCCTAACACTGGCTGGGTGAGAACTACTAGATCATCGAGTTCACCAAGGTTTCCTATTCCACCACCAACCAAATCACAATGAGTGAGAAGCAGGGAAGGACAATTCGTACTGAAACAGCACACAAAATTTACTTAGTGAGTGTGGGCGTGGCTTCATCCAGGGTGGAGCTGCTATGGGCACCGTTGACCATCTGGCCTTGGGAAGGCATGACAAGGGACAGCGTTACACTGGTCTTGCTTGTGCTCTGGGCACTGGAGTATGGCACGGAGACAGGATAGATGCGGCCTCCTGAGAAAAGCGTAAAAAGGAACATAACAGCTGATATGGGATGAGGAAAAGTACATGGAAACCCCAGTATTTGTTGTTCCTCACAACTGCCAGAGAGGCATCCTGGCCTGCTGAGATCCTGTATGTCCCCAGCTGCTCTCTCCAGTACCCTCCAGCCGCTCTCTATCATACTATACCTTCCACTCCTGGTATTGAAGTGACAATTCCCTTAGAGTGGAAGGGAACAAAACCTGCACTGAAGGTTTCTCCCCCTGGCATCAGGTCAGTGTTAGCAAGACAGAGAGGTACTAATCTCCATTCCACCCACCCTCTTTTTCCTGTTCTTCCCCTCCCATACCTTGTGTTGGGGTCAGCATGGGCTGGCTCATCTCGCCCAGCGGGTACCCAAAGTTCCTCACCAGCAGCGTCATGTCCTCATGCCGGGGGCAAAACTTGGATCGTTCCCCACCACTAGCAAAGGTGTCACAGTGGATCCGCTTAACCCGGTCCACCACAGCCTGCGCCACTGCATCCAGCAATGTTTGCTTAGCAAACTCTGTGGCAATCATGGCTGCAATCTCCTGAGCGTGGAGAGAGAGGAAAAAGTACTTTAGGAGACAGTTCTGGGGGAACCCAGACTCAGTTTTCCACTATAAACCGGTCTTATGGTAACTACCCAGTCAGACACTACGAGAGGCCTAAGCGTCTCACCCAAATTTGGCCTTTGTGCTATGGAACCATCCCACTACCCCATTAGACCACTGCATGTCAAGGGAAGGAAGGCAGCCTGGCAGAAGTACTCTACCACAACAGCTCCCTTCCTTCCAAGTCCCTACAGATTGGACTGGTGCACCCCACAATACTGGCACTAACAGGACATCAGGGCACAGCAGCTTGCAGAAGTGGAGCTGGCACTGATGAGGTGATTGAACATCTTTGGGAATGCCTCCGCCTGGAAGCTCTCACCTGATTGGCCTGTCCGGGCCCATGAGCTGCCTCCAGAGCTTTGTAGAGCCCTTCTGACATGAGTACCAGGAAGCCAATCACTCCATCCAACAGCTGTCCTCCATGGATTTCAGGCTCTGCTATGATGGGCTTAGATTTAGCAGCACTATATAGAGAAAGCTGATTTAGTAGTTAATAGAGTGATGCAGGGAGGTAGAAGGAGAAACCTGCCTTCAGGAGGAAGCAGGGCTGGGAAGAGAGCAAGACCAGAAAGTTGAACTTCTAACCTGAGCAGTTCGATATCAGTGTAGCCATATTTCACCTTGTAATCCCCAATGCGCCGGGTGCTCTCTTGCCCACAGATGGTTCCAACTTGCTTTATTTTCCCTGCATCCAAACCTGACAGATAAAGAAAAGTGCTCATTGATTTTTCAATACACTTGCTGAATTTCCTGCACTTGTATCCTGGGGAAGGAGAAAGGGACCCGCTCTAGCTCCAGCTCCAGATATTGCAGGAGCATGGGCACCACAAGCCCACTGTGACCGCCTCGGGGGTGCAATCACCCCCTCCCGCCCGGGAGGGGGGTTCAGCGAACACCGTCGACGGCCCTCGGTCTGTTGGTCCCGGAGTTTAGTCAGTATTGGCATCTTTGGGCGCGATCACCCCGCTCGGCCGAGTCCGGGGGATCTGTGACCCAGGGGTCACCTGTCCCCTTTTGCGGGGCTTCTCCCCACGGTCTCCGTTGGAGGTTCCCCCTCGCCGGCGTTGGAGCAACTTTCACCCCTGACGATGGCAGGGAGGGAGGAGGGGGACCCGGGCCCACCCTCTCCACCGGGTCCCAGCCCGGGGCCCTAAGCACAGGGGTCCGCTTGCTCCCTGTGCAGTGGACGTGGGATGCCTTCCCGAAACGCGCCCACCCACGGGCGCAAAAGGGCCCTGCCCCAGGCTGCTTCCTCCCTCCTACGGACCCCGCTGCCCCGCCCCTAAGGCGC